ACCGTAGCGGAATTGTGGAATGTATATATATATGAAGCTATGTGCGAGCGAATGCACTTGCGTTGTGGATCGTATGTTTGTATGAAGTCTATGCGCGGGCGAATGCACTCGCGTTGTGGATCGTAAATACTGATTAATTATTCTGTTTAAATTAGTTGCTTGCAGCTTGACCCGACATATGTATATAATAAACAATTTGTGTTTTTCTTTTCGTCTATATTTAAAATGTTAATAATAAAATGGATAAAAATTAAACTTTAAATTTAAGGAAAATTATATATTTATTTTAAAGCATTAAAAATTTAAAAAAAATGTCAAACTAGACTTAAAAAACTGCTTATTTTTTTTAATTTCAAACATCGATGAAACATGGATAGAGTTTTTGTAACAATGTCTATGCTTTTTGATTTTGCCAAAGTGTGACCAAAAATAATCAACAAATATTATAACTAATAAACGAATGTACGTGATGTACAAAACACAAACATATATAGGTTAGGATAGGTAGAGGCGGCGATGAGGGGCCGGTGTCTGACCCCCATCCACTTGAGCCGCTGGGGCTCCTTGTGATACCGCTCAGGCAAGGGTCCTACAAGAGGATTTCTCCCTCCCCTTTACTTATGTGCCCAAGGGTGTTCTATCCTTCCTGCGCCGGCTCGCGGTCCCATCCAGATTTACGGATGAATGCTACGAGTCTGTGTGGAGCGACTTCCGCGAAGTCTGTTAGGTCTGTGAGTATTGCTGCACCCAAGAATTCGAGTCGGCTGCGCCCCAGCGCGGGAAATTGACACAGGAGGTGTGAGACTGTCTCTTCCTCTTCTACGTCCCCACAGCTCCTGCAGTAGTCATAATGTGGCACTGCTAGTCTAGCCGCGTGTGCTCCTATTAACCAATGTCCCGTAATGGCCTTGACCGCCAGACTACAGTCCTGCCTATTAAGGGCGATAAGCATCATTGACCTCTTCCTAGATCGGATGGGCCATATCATGCGGGAGTTTTCTCCATTTCCTCAGTGATGCGCGGCCAAAGTGATCCCTGCATTTTAGCTTACACGTAGCTAAGGGGATACCTACTGGTTCCTTCTCCGGTAGGAGAGGATTGGTAGTACCTGCTCTTGCCAGTTCGTCGGCGGCGCAATTACCCTCGTGGTCCCTATGCCCGGGTACCCATATGAGGTGGATGTCATGCTGCTCTGCCATCTCGTTAAGAGATCTGCGACAGTCATTTACTGTCCTGAACTTGGATGAAAATCCGTCAAGGGCTTTGAGTGCCGCTTGACTGTCTGAAAGGATACAGATTGTGTCTTGATTGCCAGTAAGTGCTGGGGATCTGAGTGCTTCTCCGATAGCTATTACTTCTGCTTGGAACACACTATAGTGGTCGGGGAGTCTGAAGGACTCATTTAGACACAGCCGTTCCCAATGGAAACCGCCTCCCACCAGGCCATTCAATTTTGAACCGTCTGTGTAGATATGGAGGGAACCGGCTGGTCCCGGGATTTGTGTGGCCCATTCCTCCCTTGTTGGAAGGTAGACCTTGTAGTTTAAGGTGGGATGATCGACAGGTACGCAGTAGCCTGTAGACCCCGTTGGAGTGCAGTGGTGTAGATCTAACTTGGTATGTCCATAGTCAGTCCATTTCCATGTGCCGGTCTCGCGTAGCCTGATTGCCGATAGCAAGGCTATCTTGACCTCCATTATCTCTACCGGTAATAGGTCGAGTATGAAGTCTAGGGCATCCGTCGGTGTGGTACGTAGGCTGCCTGTAATACAGACTTCCGCCATCCTTTGCGTTTTCCTAAATTTCTCTCTAATTGTGGAGTTAGTGGGAGCAGGCCACCAGACCACCAACCCGTAGAAAAGGATGTGTACGGTCATTTTCGTTGTCGTAATGTTCATTACGTAATGTTAGTGCATACCACAACCCTACAATCGATACCTGCTTGATGTCTATCGATCTCGAGACCCCGGTCCCTTTGGAAAGCGGGAAATCTCTAAGCTTCTTCCAATTATTACGACTGAAACACATTTTGTTATACTGCCAACATTGTTTGATCTCTAAAATCAATTCAAATTAAATTCAGTGACATACTTGAAACAAACCCTGTGTTTTTATAAAACGGCAACAGCAAAGTCCCCATAGCAGACTTCTGCTAATTATTGACTCCCGTATTCTATCGGCGCAGTCACAACATTTTTGGTGGCCCATGATGGCCAATGAATAAAATTTGAATTGATTTGGAACAAACAATTGGGCTCAAATTAATCTGAAACAAACGGCTATTAACCTATGCCACGTGGAACCACGCTTTCTACGAATAACGGACCGAAGAACAAGGGATCGCTGCGCGACGAATAACGGACAAAGGAAGGAGAGATTGCTGTGAGACGAATAACGGACCAAAGGAACGACGAATTGAAACTGGAAACTGCTACACAGACTGACTGGAAGCCGGTAAGTGTTTGTATGTGAGGGCTGTGATTTCAAGCGTGCTGTTGTAAATTCAATAAAACTATGGGTATCGACGATGAAAAGACAGGCACACAAGCCAATCCTTCCCCATCCGACCAGTTTGCTGGTTTACACGCGAGACAGAAGGATTTATGGAAAAGGTTGACGCAACTCGAGCGTAACTTTAAGAAGGATAGCCAATCCCGAAAATCCAAACATTATTTTCTTCAGCTACTTAGCACGTTAAAGGATTTATCCACCCTGTTTGATGCGAATCACCAACAATTGGTCGATCAGCTGTGTCCCAGTCAACATGTATATTTCTCAGACAACCTATACGAGCGGTTTGTTGAAGAGCACCAGCACATCTTCTGCAACATCTCGGAAGAATACGACAACAAGTTCTCAGTGATAGCCCAAGGTTCCCCACCAATCGAGTCCGTCACTCCAATTTTATCGTCCAACATTCCGCTTCCGAAGCTTCCAGTTCCACGCTTTTCGGGAAGCTTTACGGATTGGCCCTCGTTTTACGATGGTTTCCTACAACTCATCCATGACAACAACACTCTCTCTAACATCCAGAAGTTTCACTCACTTTCACCAGGACAATCTTCCCATCCACGTGCGCCTAACCGATCCAACTTCAATTCCACTAACCGCCACAGTTTTCATGTGACTACGGAAATGGGAGCACCCCAGTGCACTCTCTGCCAAAGAAACCATGTTCTCCGGAGATGTCCCAGTTTTCTCGCGAAGGATTGCTTTGCTCGTAAGACGATTGTCGCATAAAAGCATGCCTCAATTGTCTCAGCACAGGCCACGCGCTAAGTCACTGCGGCAGCACTCACAATTGCTTACAGTGCGGCCAACGCCACCATACGCTACAGCATTTTCCGAACATAGCAACCCAGCCTACCAACTCTGCCCTATCGCGACAGCCAACGAACGGTGTCCATAGCGCACAGGGCACCCAACAGAGCGTAGCATCCCGCTCATCTGTTTTGTCTCAACAGCACAGCCTAGCCCCCGGCTTAACTGCTTCGAACGAGACGCAACTCCTCAGCGCAGTTGCCACCTATCAAAATCCATCCACCACGATTCTCACCACGGCCCTAATCCGAATTGTCAACGACCAAACGGGACAATCTGTTTTAGCCAGAGCGTTGATTGACCATGGCTCGGAAGGAACACTTATCACCGAAAGCTTAGTACAGACGCTGGGTCTCTCACGCACCCCTATATCTGCGGAAATAACAGGGATCGGCGACTCCTCTCACAATCGTTGTCGACATAGTACCAATTTTGTCCTAAGCTCGATTTCAGGTTCCCAGTTCACATCGTTTGTATCCACTGCATTTATTCTCCGTACACTTACAGGGCACCTTCCAAAATCGGATGTCGACCCTCGCTCATTCCAACACCTTAAAGGATTGCAACTCGCCGATCCCAATTTTGCCCGCTCCGGTCGTATTGACGTGCTTGTGGGCGTTGATCTTATTCCACAATTGATGCTCCCAGAAATTCGACGAGGAACTCATGAGAAACCAATCGCACAAAACACTCTTCTTGGTTGGATTGTTTTTGGACCAGTGAGGAAATCCATGACACACTCCATCACTGTCCGTTGTAACACCACGACGCTTGATCATCTGGTGCAAATGTTCTTCGAACTAGATAGCGAGCCGTCTGAACGCCAACTCACCACAGAGGAACGATGGTGTGAAGAACACTTTCGTCAAACACATGTTCGACAGCCCAACGAGAAATACATGGTTCGCTTACCACTGAAAACCTTGTTCGACCCGTCACAAGTTCTAGACCGATCAAAACATATAGCCTTAAATCGTTTCTACACACTAGAGCGAAAATTGCAGCAGCGCGATAAGCTTCATCAACAATATCTCCAAGCAATCGAGGAATATTTTGACTTACAGCAAATACAAGAAGTCACTACAAGCGAAGACAGTCACTCTCATATCAACACAAATGGGAAGCTCAGGGGTCTTCTGCAGCACGATTCCACACCATGCAGTCCTGAAGGAGAACAGCCTGACGACTAAACTCAGGGTAGTCTACGACGCCTCTTGTAAGAGCTCCAACGGGAAATCACTGAATGACATGTTATGTACTGGCCCAGCTCTACAGAACGATTTGGGAGGAGTGATACTAAATTGGCGTTTATCGCTATGTTTTCGTGGCGGACATCCAAAGGATGTACCGATGTATCGAAATGCATCCAGAGGACTCTCAATTCCAGCGCATTTGGTGGCGTGACAAAACCGGAGAGTTAAAAGAGTTCCGTCTCACCACAGTTACCTTCGGAACAGCGATTCGGGTGATCCACCAAATAGCTCAGGACGAACGAGAAAATTATCCGCTAGCAGAAAGGTACTGAAAAGGGAGATTTATGTTGATGACGTACAAAGCGGCCATGAGACCACGGAGCCCTCCGCTCGGCTGGTATGCATCTTCGAAAATGGGCAGCGAACCACCTGGCGTTGCTTAGCGATATTCCTAAAGTAGACCTCTGCAACCACTCAATCTTCGAAATGGACAATAAAGACAGCATTAAAACGCTTGGACTGTACTGGCAGCCAAACCCGGACGTCTACGGATTCAAAATCCATTTCTCGATCAATCCCACACTTTCGAAAAGGGCTCTTTTATCAACAGTGGCGCGGCTCTTCGATCCATTAGGATTTTTAGCACCCTTGATAGTCATGTCAAAAATTCTTCTCAAGGACGTATGGAGCTTCCGTATGCAGCAAACTGATGGCACTTACCGTGCACTCGATTGGGACGACATGCTACCAGAGTCTTTGGCAGTGCGTTGGCAGAGATATCTCGAACATCTTCCAGAAGTTCAACACATTCGCATACCACGCTGGTTCGGTTGCGATTTCAGCAATGTGATATCTCTTCAATTGCACATGTTCTCCGATGGGTCGTCCCTCGCGTATGCAGCGTGTGCCTACCTTCGAGTACTCGACACTGCTGGAATTATACATACACACTTAGTCGCAGCTCGCACTAGGGTTACACCAAAAAGCCTCTCACCATACCGCGAGTAGAGCTTTCCGGAGCAGTTCTAGCTACCAAACTCGCCACATGGATCCAGCAGCAACTTCACGTGCCTCAGATGCGGGTCACAGTGTACTACTGGTCAGACGCCATGATCGTGCTTCACTGGATATATGGAGATCCATGCAGGTGGAAGACTTTTGTAGCCAATCGAATTGGCAGCATCCAAGAGGTCAGCTCTGCTTCACAGTGGGGTCATGTGTCTACGCAGGACAACCCTGCGGATTGTGCAACGCGCGGTTTAACCCCACTACAGCTCGCGCAGGATAAGCTCTGGTGGAGCGGCCCAGACTGGTTGCAGGAACCCGAAGATCATTGGCCCAAGGTAACTCTTACTTCTCCAGATCCGAGCACAATCTGCGAGGAACAGGCAGCAAAAGTTATCCACGCTCACACCTGTGCATCCACTGATTCCTTTGTTGAGTCATTTTCGTCATACAGTCGACTTGTATTTTCCACAGAATTCATTAATCGCTTTATCCATAATACTCGCTGCAAAAGGGAGGCTCGGCTTTCCGGACCAATTGGCGTAAAGGAGTTTTCCAAAGCAATGTATACTCTGGTTCGCGTTGTCCAACAGGAAGCATTCTCTCACGAACTGTCCAAGTTGCGAGCAAACAAATCGCTCTCAAAATCTAACAAGCTTAGCCAACTGTCGCCATTCATAGATGCCCAAAGGATCCTCAGAGTGCGGGGCAGACTTCGAAACGCTTTGCAGCTCACCACTCAACAACGCACACCCATCATCCTACCGAAGTCACATCATTTTACGGACCTCGTCTTAAAAAACGCCCATCTGAACACCATGCATGGGGGAGTGCAACTGACCCGTGCGATCATCCATCAGCAGTTTTGGATCATTAATGGCAAACAAGCGGTAAAAGGAGTTCTCCGACAGTGTGTGGCTTGCTTTCAGCATCGCCCTAAACCCTCTCGACAATTAATGGGTGATCTTCCATACCATCGTGTTAATCCGCCGAAAAGAGCGTTCGAAGCTACAGGTCACCAGACCACCAACCCGTAGAAAAGGATGTGTACGGTCATTTTCGTTGTCGTAATGTTCATTACGTAATGTTAGTGCATACCACAACCCTACAATCGATACCTGCTTGATGTCTATCGATCTCGAGACCCCGGTCCCTTTGGAAAGCGGGAAATCTCTAAGCTTCTTCCAATTATTACGACTGAAACACATTTTGTTATACTGCCAACATTGTTTGATCTCTAAAATCAATTCAAATTAAATTCAGTGACATACTTGAAACAAACCCTGTGTTTTTATAAAACGGCAACAGCAAAGTCCCCATAGCAGACTTCTGCTAATCATTGACTCCCGTATTCTATCGGCGCAGTCACAACATTTTTGGTGGCCCATGAAGGGAACCTGTTGTTAAATGTGCCAATGAATGGAATTTGAATTGATTTGGAACAAACAATTGGGCTCAAATTAATCTGAAACAAATGGCTATTAACCTATGCCACGTGGAACCACGCTTTCTACGAATTACGGACCGAAGAACAAGGGATCGCTGCGCGACGAATAACGGACAAAGGAAGGAGAGATTGCTGTGAGACGAATAACGGACCAAAGGAACGACGAATTGAAACTGGAAACTGCTACACAGACTGACTGGAAGCCGGTGAGTGTTTGTATGTGAGGGCTGTGATTTCAAGCGTGCTGTTGTAAATTCAATAAAACTATGGGTATCGACGATGAAAAGACAGGCACACAAGCCAATCCTTCCCCATCCGACCAGTTTGCTGGTTTACACGCGAGACAGAAGGATTTATGGAAAAGGTTGACGCAACTCGAGCGTAACTTTAAGAAGGATAGCCAATCCCGAAAATCCAAACATTATTTTCTTCAGCTACTTAGCACGTTAAAGGATTTATCCACCCTGTTTGATGCGAATCACCAACAATTGGTCGATCAGCTGTGTCCCAGTGAACATGTATATTTCTCAGACAACCTATACGAGCGGTTTGTTGAAGAGCACCAGCACATCTTCTGCAACATCTCGGAAGAATACGACAACAAGTTCTCAGTGATAGCCCAAGGTTCCCCACCAATCGAGTCCGTCACTCCAATTTTATCGTCCAACATTCCGCTTCCGAAGCTTCCAGTTCCACGCTTTTCGGGAAGCTTTACGGATTGGCCCTCGTTTTACGATGGTTTCCTACAACTCATCCATGACAACAACACTCTCTCTAACATCCAGAAGTTTCACTCACTTTCACCAGGACAATCTTCCCATCCACGTGCGCCTAACCGATCCAACTTCAATTCCACTAACCGCCACAGTTTTCATGTGACTACGGAAATGGGAGCACCCCAGTGCACTCTCTGCCAAAGAAACCATGTTCTCCGGAGATGTCCCAGTTTTCTCGCGAAGGATTGCTTTGCTCGTAAGACGATTGTCGATCGCATAAAAGCATGCCTCAATTGTCTCAGCACAGGCCACGCGCTAAGTCACTGCGGCAGCACTCACAATTGCTTACAGTGCGGCCAACGCCACCATACGCTACTGCATTTTCCGAACATAGCAACCCAGCCTACCAACTCTGCCCTATCGCGACAGCCAACGAACGGTGTCCATAGCGCACAGGGCACCCAACAGAGCGTAGCATCCCGCTCATCTGTTTTGTCTCAACAGCACAGCCTAGCCCCCGGCTTAACTGCTTCGAACGAGACGCAACTCCTCAGCGCAGTTGCCACCTATCAAAATCCATCCACCACGATTCTCACCACGGCCCTAATCCGAATTGTCAACGACCAAACGGGACAATCTGTTTTAGCCAGAGCGTTGATTGACCATGGCTCGGAAGGAACACTTATCACCGAAAGCTTAGTACAGACGCTGGGTCTCTCACGCACCCCTATATCTGCGGAAATAACAGGGATCGGCGACTCCTCTCACAATCGTTGTCGACATAGTACCAATTTTGTCCTAAGCTCGATTTCAGGTTCCCAGTTCACATCGTTTGTATCCACTGCATTTATTCTCCGTACACTTACAGGGCACCTTCCAAAATCGGATGTCGACCCTCGCTCATTCCAACACCTTAAAGGATTGCAACTCGCCGATCCCAATTTTGCCCGCTCCGGTCGTATTGACGTGCTTGTGGGCGTTGATCTTATTCCACAATTGATGCTCCCAGAAATTCGACGAGGAACTCATGAGAAACCAATCGCACAAAACACTCTTCTTGGTTGGATTGTTTTTGGACCAGTGAGGAAATCCATGTCATGCTCCATCACTGTCCGTTGTAACACCACGACGGTTGATCATCTGGTGCAAATGTTCTTCGAACTAGATAGCGAGCCGTCTGAACGCCAACTCACCACAGAGGAACGATGGTGTGAAGAACACTTTCGTCAAACACATGTTCGACAGCCCAACGAGAAATACATGGTTCGCTTACCACTGAAAACCTTGTTCGACCCGTCACAAGTTCTAGACCGATCAAAACATATAGCCTTAAATCGTTTCTACACACTAGAGCGAAAATTGCAGCAGCGCGATAAGCTTCATCAACAATATCTCCAAGCAATCGAGGAATATTTTGACTTACAGCAAATACAAGAAGTCACTACAAGCGAAGACAGTCACTCTCATATCAACACAAATGGGAAGCTCGGGGTCTTCTGCAGCACGATTCCACACCATGCAGTCCTGAAGGAGAACAGCCTGACGACTAAACTCAGGGTAGTCTACGACGCCTCTTGTAAGAGCTCCAACGGGAAATCACTGAATGACATGTTATGTACTGGCCCAGCTCTACAGAACGATTTGGGAGGAGTGATACTAAATTGGCGTTTATCGCTATGTTTTCGTGGCGGACATCCAAAGGATGTACCGATGTATCGAAATGCATCCAGAGGACTCTCAATTCCAGCGCATTTGGTGGCGTGACAAAACCGGAGAGTTAAAAGAGTTCCGTCTCACCACAGTTACCTTCGGAACAGCATCAGCCCCATACACAGCGATTCGGGTGATCCACCAAATAGCTCAGGACGAACGAGAAAATTATCCGCTAGCAGAAAAGGTACTGAAAAGGGAGATTTATGTTGATGACGTACAAAGCGGCCATGAGACCACGGACGGTGCCATTCGAGTGCGAAACGAGGTCATAGCAGCCCTCCGCTCGGCTGGTATGCATCTTCGAAAATGGGCAGCGAACCACCCGGCGTTGCTTAGCGATATTCCTAAAGTAGACCTCTGCAACCACTCAATCTTCGAAATGGACAATAAAGACAGCATTAAAACGCTTGGACTGTACTGGCAGCCAAACCCGGACGTCTTCGGATTCAAAATCCATTTCTCGATCAATCCCACACTTTCGAAAAGGGCTCTTTTATCAACAGTGGCGCGGCTCTTCGATCCATTAGGATTTTTAGCACCCTTGACAGTCATGTCGAAAATTCTCCTCAAGGACGTATGGAGCTTCCGTATGCAGCAAACTGATGGCACTTACCGTGCACTCGATTGGGACGACATGCTACCAGAGTCTTTGGCAGTGCGTTGGCAGAGATATCTCGAACATCTTCCAGAAGTTCAACACATTCGCATACCACGCTGGTTCGGTTGCGATTTCAGCAATGTGATATCTCTTCAATTGCACATGTTCTCCGATGGGTCGTCCCTCGCGTATGCAGCGTGTGCCTACCTTCGAGTACTCGACACTGCTGGAATTATACATACACACTTAGTCGCAGCTCGCACTAGGGTTACACCAAAAAAGCCTCTCACCATACCGCGAGTAGAGCTTTCCGGAGCAGTTCTAGCTACCAAACTCGCCACATGGATCCAGCAGCAACTTCACGTGCCTCAGATGCGGGTCACAGTGTACTACTGGTCAGACGCCATGATCGTGCTTCACTGGATATATGGAGATCCATGCAGGTGGAAGACTTTTGTAGCCAATCGAATTGGCAGCATCCAAGAGGTCAGCTCTGCTTCACAGTGGGGTCATGTGTCTACGCAGGACAACCCTGCGGATTGTGCAACGCGCGGTTTAACCCCACTACAGCTCGCGCAGGATAAGCTCTGGTGGAGCGGCCCAGACTGGTTGCAGGAACCCGAAGATCATTGGCCCAAGGTAACTCTTACTTCTCCAGATCCGAGCACAATCTGCGAGGAACAGGCAGCAAAAGTTATCCACGCTCACACCTGTGCATCCACTGATTCCTTTGTTGAGTCATTTTCGTCATACAGTCGACTTGTATTTTCCACAGCATTCATTAATCGCTTTATCCATAATACTCGCTGCAAAAGGGAGGCTCGGCTTTCCGGACCAATTGGCGTAAAGGAGTTTTCCAAAGCAATGTATACTCTGGTTCGCGTTGTCCAACAGGAAGCATTCTCTCACGAACTGTCCAAGTTGCGAGCAAACAAATCGCTCTCAAAATCTAACAAGCTTAGCCAACTGTCGCCATTCATAGATGCCCAAAGGATCCTCAGAGTGCGGGGCAGACTTCGAAACGCTTTGCAGCTCACCACTCAACAACGCACACCCATCATCCTACCGAAGTCACATCATTTTACGGACCTCGTCTTAAAAAACGCCCATCTGAACACCATGCATGGGGGAGTGCAACTGACCCGTGCGATCATCCATCAGCAGTTTTGGATCATTAATGGCAAACAAGCGGTAAAAGGAGTTCTCCGACAGTGTGTGGCTTGCTTTCAGCATCGCCCTAAACCCTCTCGACAATTAATGGGTGATCTTCCATACCATCGTGTTAATCCGCCGAAAAGAGCGTTCGAAGCTACAGGTGTGGATTACACAGGATCTATCGATGTCAAGGCCTCGAGGTTCAGGGACACACTACATACAAGGCCTATATTGCAGTATTCATTTGCCTCGCCAGTAAAGCTATCCATTTGGAGCTGGTGACAGGACTCACAGCACAACATTTTCTCTGGGCTCTCCAACGGTTCATTGGACGCCGCGGTTTTGTGCGGCACATGTTCAGTGACTGCGGCACAAATTTTATAGCAGCAGATAAATCCCTACAGTTGTGGTCTAACGAGTTCCGGCAGGAAATCAACCAGACAGTCGTCCCAGAACTCACAAAGCGCTACATTCAGTGGCACTTTAACCCCCCACACAGCCCAAACTTCGGAGGACTTTGGGAGGCTAACGTCAAAGCCGTAAAGTCTCATCTTCATCGTTCCTTCAAAGGATACCCAATGACTTATGAACAATTATCAACCGTTCTTATCCAGATCAAGGCCTGTCTTAACTCTCGGCCATTATGCCCGTTAACCGCGGATATTAACGATCTGCAAGTATTGACTCCAGCTCATTTTCTCATCGGAGACTCCATGCAATCGCTTCCTACCCCCAGTGACAAGGACAAGTCGCTCAACACACAGTTCATGGAGAGACAACGGATCCTACGCCAGTTCTGGAAAAGGTGGAGCTCAGATTGGTTGTCTCACCTTCAGGCACGCCCTAAGTGGAGACAAGAGGAAGAAAACCTACAGGTCAATGACCTAGTTATTATCAAGGACGACAGGACAGGTCCAACCGATTGGAAACTAGGTCGTGTTATAGAATTACACCCTGGAGCCGATGGGCTGGTACGAGTTGCAACAATCTATACAGGTTCGGGTACATATAAGCGATCAGTATCCAAGATCTGCAGATTACCCATCCCGAATTACACGGAAACTAAAGTCGAGGAAGCTAATCTTGAACAATAGTGATACACGCATTTGATCTCACATCCATACCACAGCAAACATTTCACCTGTTTCTTTCAGTTACCATTAGAAGGATGTCTTAATGCTGGACCCAGCATTGCGGGGCGGCATGTACGGTCATTTTTGTTGTCGTAATGTTCATTACGTAATGTTAGTGCATGCCACAACCCTACAATCGATACCTGCTTGATGTCTATCGATCTCGAGACCCCGGTCCCTTTGGAAAGCGGGACATCTCTAAGCTTCTTCCAATTATTACGACTGAAACACATTTTGTTATACTGCCAACATTGTTTGATCTCTAAAATCAATTCAAATTAAATTCAGTGACATACTTGAAACAAACCCTGTGTTTTTATAAAACGGCAACTGCAAAGTCCCCATAGCAGACTTCTGCTAATCATTGACTCCCGTATTCTATCGGCGCAGTCACAACAGGATGGGTCTTATGACCGCTGTTTAAAGCTATCTTACTATTTTTGGGGACATTCCCCATTTAAGGCCAATAGCTTTTATAGAGTGCGATTGTAGCCTTGTTAGCTTGAAGAGCATATTCCTTATCATTAAGTGCCTTTTCGACAGAAGTACTGATTTAATGGAGTGCCGTTTCCGTGGATCGGCCCTTCCTATACGCATACTGCGAACCCGAGATATCATCTGGGTTTAAAGTAAGATTAATATGGAGGCTGATTAGTCTCTCCATTGTCTTGAGAAGGAAGGACGACAGGCTTATAGGTCTGAAGTCCTTAGGGGTGCAGTGAGATGGTTTTCCCGCCTTGGGTATAAATACGACTTACGTCCGCAACCACATTGCGGGTACGATGCCTGTCCTGAAAATTGCTGAGAAAGCTTTCTTGACCCAAGACCTCAGATTGGGACCGGCTTTAATTAGTTGAGCCGGAACAATGCCATCTGGGCCTGGGGATTTGAAAGGCTTGAAGCTATTTATTGCCCAGCTGAGATACCTGTTACTCAATAGGTATTCAAGTTGGTTAGGGGGGGAGGGGCTATTCCCCTGTCTCTGCATTTCCAGGGTTTTATCTTCTCGAGAGCATCCCGGGAAATGTGTCTCTGTGAGAGCCTCTAGGGTTTCTCTGCTGGACGATGTCCAGTTACCTTCTGAGGTTTTAATATAACCTACATTTGGTGCAGTAGTTCCGAGGACCTTCCTGAGTCGGGAGGCCTCTGATGTTTGCTGAATGTTCGTGCAGAACTTGGCCCAGGCATTCCTTTTTGCCTTGCGAAGTTCTTTGTTATATCGCCTAAGGTCCGCTTTATACGACTCCCAGGCTGTCTCCGAGTTTGTTTTGCTGGAAAAATTAAAGGCCTTGCGGGCCTTGGTTTTAAAAGGCGCAAGTTTTTGCGACCACCATGGTGATTTCTTTGACTTTCTATTGCCCGATCTGCTTTTGGGACAAGCTTTATTGAATGCCCTGGCGCACGCTGCCGTGAGCGTGTCCACCATGGCATTCGGGGCTTCCTTACTGTCAACGTCGACTGTTGGAGGTTTCCCCATGGAACTTTCTAGTTTTTCCTGTATAACTCCCAGTTCGCTTTCCTCGGGTTGCGTACCGTTAGTCGTGTAATATGCACATATATGCACTATTAATATCATATATATATATCGACCACCCACTGTACCAAGAGTACTTAAAGGGTACACACTGTAACACTTTGTAACAACTCGCAGTGTTTATGTTATCCAAGGTCTCGGTCATAAACCTAAGTGCACCGAAATATGAATCGCCCGCTGTGCCTTTGCTGTACGCCGAAAAGTGCATATGTCCGCATATACGTAACACGAGTGGACCTTATGCATGTCTACATACCTCCGCCTAAGCGAACATAACATAAATATATATTCATATATGTATAAATATTTAAGAATACATAACCGTCTCTCCGCTGCCGCTTTGGGCAGCGCAGCTACGAGACTTAGACTTCCTTTAACTCATAAGTAAATTTGTAAAAGGAGAAACTCCCATGAGCTCGGAGCGGCAACAACAGCTGCTCCGAATACAACTCACACCTTAAATAAAATAAAGATATGCTAAACCGTCAAACCAACCGATATAATCAATAAAACTGGGAACACGACCACAAACCTGTGGAGCCTTCAAGAAACATTACATGGCGACCGTGACAGGACAAAAGGACATCGAAGGATCCCCAACGCAGAAGGCATCATAGGATCAACAACTGAAGAAAAAAAAACAATATCAACGAAAAAAAACACACACAGCAGCAGCCACTTTTAAATGGAATTCCAATGATTTAAATGGAAAAACAGAATATCGCAGTAAGTAGAGTGTGATGTGTGCAAAACGTAGTGGCGTGGTTCAACGTTTAAAAGCCAGAAAGGCTGAATTACTGAAGCTACTAAATAGCGGAAGTAAATTAGAATGGAACAACTCGGTGAAAATACACGCCAAAGTTGAACACATCAAAAACCTACTAACGCAAAGAAATAATAAAACCACAGCCACACACACATCCACCTACACTGCAATACCTAACATATCCAAAGACAAGATACAACTTAATCCACCACCAAAACAGGAGTTACCGAGAATAAAGAAAACATGTTCCAATGACTGCAGAGGACCCCTGAAATCACCCTTCTGCGAACAAACCTGTGCCAGCACCGGTGCCCCAACAACCAAATAAAGAAGAAAAGCCTGTACAGCCAGCACCGGCCCCGTTCAGCGCTCCAAGCTAAGCCTGGAACAGTGAACCGACAGCGCTACCAAGAGCGCAAAATTTTTGTTTCCCCATGCACTGCGTTGCATATTTTTTTTGTATTGCACTGCGATGCATATTTTTTTTTTAGTATAAACAAGAAAGCAAAGCTAACTTCGGGCGGAGCCGAAGTTGATATACCCTTGCAGTTAAAACCGGATATATATCGCAAACATCGGATATAGTTGGCCGATCCTTATGGGAATAGGAATATATATTCCAATTTATTACAATACAAAATCTAAAAAAAAGTCCCAAACTTCTATCTTCAAAAATACGAAAGTTGATATTTCTACCAAATACCATTTCCGATCGTTCAGTTATATGGCAGCTATGGGATATAGTCGGCCGATCCTAATGAAATTTGGTAGGTTGGATTAACTGACCAAATATATAATCTGTACCAAGTTCCAGCTTTCTATCTTCAAAAACACGAAAGTTGGGTCATTTCCGATCAATCAGTTATATGGCAGCTATAGAATATAGTCGGCCGATCCTTATGAAATTTGGCATGTCGTAATGTTTTGCCAAAAATAACTCTCATGTCAAATTTGAACTCTCTAACTCTAAAAACACCAAAGTTATACCATTTCCGATCAATCAGTTATATGGCAGCTATAGGATATAGTCGGCCGATCTGGGCCGTTCCGACTTATATACTGCGTGCAAAGGATAGAAGGGTGTGTGCAAAGTTTCAAGACGATAGCTTTAAAACTGAGAGACTAGTTTGCGTAGAAACAGACAGACGGACAGACAGACGGACAGACAGACGGACAGACAGACGGACAGACGGACAGACGGACAGACGGACATGCTCATATCAACTCAGGAGGTGATCCTGATCAAGAATATATATACTTTATAGGGTCGGAGATATCTCCTTCACTGCGTTGCACACTTTTGACCAAAATTATAATACCCTCTGCAAGGGTATAAAAAGGTACAAAAAAAAACGCAATATACACATAGCCAAAAAAGGCAAGTCCTTAAATGAGCCAAACTGAATGGCAAATAATTAATAAATTAAATCATACAATTTACACAAAAAATTATATACCAATTCTAGAGAAAATACCCAAAATGAGTTTAGTCGATGTAAAACAAGTGGACTCCACAGCAAATGTAATAAATAAATTTGAGTCCAGCACTACGAACACAGAATTGACAAATACCCTATTATCAATTATTGTATTCATTTTGATCGCATTCATTTTGTATAAAGCATACATTTTTCATAATAAATGCATAGCAAAAAGAGTGATTAATAAAGGCCAGGTTATCGATCTGGACAAAATATAAAAAAAAAAATAATAACGAAAAAATAAAAATTAATTTTTAGACATATATATATAAAAAAAATAACAACGCTCAGTGCCAAATTCTGATATGTTAAAGATGCACCTATGATATATACAAAAACAAAAACGATTTCATATGTTCATGAATAATCTTATTTTTACGTACAATGAAAATAAAATATAAGAAAAAAATAAAATAAAGAAAGTTTAAAAAAAATAATTCCAGTATGAGTACACAAAGAGCCATAGACAAAACATATGAAAAGGACCCCTATTTCCAAGAAAGGATCAAGCAGTTAGTATCAACAACCCCAGTTAGTGTGTATGAGTTAGATACTTTATATAGAAACATTTAACTGCCACGTTTCACCATTGTTTCACTGCACCGCAACCCAAAAAGGAATAGTATTAAAAACAATTCCGGGTGTGCTAGTGAAATCAAGAATAGACGAGCATCTACTTTTAGGTAGAACGATTGTTATGATGGTTTCTAAAAGATAATCCATACCCTTCATATAATGGAATGGAATGAATTATCGAAAGAACTATCAAGCATTAAAGCAGAATTCGACAAGTCTCATAAGTCACTATCACAGAATAGACCGATACAAAAAACAACGGTCAATAAACACGTAGAAATATTAGTTAAATGCTTTAATGAAGCTCGAATATTAATATATGAACACAGAGAAAAGTTAAATCCAGATCACTGGTCTCGAGTATCAAAATTTTTGATCAGACTAAGATCTAATCTAACATCTGTTAAAGAAGGGTTCAAGCTTGATATTTCAATACCTACTATTCTCAATACTTCAATAACAATTGAAGCTGGTGACGAACCAGAATCAAAAGAAGTTATTGACCAACAAGAAATAGAAGAAAGCGATATTAAAAACCTTACGGTTCCGGCAGTCCTTATTCAATCTGAATTATCAGACCAGGACTTGTCCGACTCTGAATTTA